ACACACACACACACACACACACCAAAAAAATTAACATTTATTTTTAGTACAATTTTTTTTTTAAACCATTTTATTTTTAGTACATTCAAATTGGCATTAAAGGCTCATTCACTCTAAGGACGATAATGATAATGATAAATATATACTTTTAAAAATGTATCTAAATGTACAAAAAATAGCACCACAACTATAACAGCACAGAGGAACAATATCACTGGAAACACTTTCAGATTTTTTCCCCCAGCTGATAATGTTAAAAATTTTGACAGTCAGAATCCAACCTGCTTTCTTGAACATTTAAAGCGACAATTGACAACTGCAGTGTGTACTTATAATACATATAACACGATTGTGCATTGTTATGGATGTCAAACTAGTCGTCGTTATAGTTATCTTTATAGTTATTGTTCTTGGTGTGAACAGGCCTTCGCTTAAGGCTTTATATAATAAAAATCTTTAAAAATGGCAAATTATTTCTATGAATTCCAATGCAAAATGAGTTATATCAATCCACACCAGACACCGGTCCTGTGCATGAACACTGCCAGTAGAACAGAGAATTAAATGGGAAAAGTCATGAGGACAGTGTAAAGATATGGGGAACACCGATAAGCTGTTTTATTTGCATGTGCGTAAGTTAAGTATTACAGTGGGACATTTTCCTCTCTTGTCCTTTGATTCTTGCTTTACCCCTTTGGTTTTTTTGCACGTTTTCCAACAAGACACACCCCCTGATCCCTCCCACCCTTGATGCCCTTCCACCTTTTGTGCTCCTCTCCAAATACAGCACGTCCCCAAAATAAGAAACAGCAAATCCGCTCCCTCTTAGCTGCAGACGTGTTTACCATCCCATAATACTGCTCCCAGATTTGTTCAGCCCTTTGGATCGCCTTTTCTGCTCATATTTCCCCTCCGCTCTTATCACCGAACAAAGCGGCTTCTTCCCCACCATCGCAAAGCTCAGAAACCCCCGATTGTTACAATGGTAAGTATCGGAGGCGTTCTCCATTTCCACTGTAAAACCTGGAGACTAATGCAACACAACCACACCGCGCTGGGGGAGATTGCTGTCAACACTCTCCATAAACTGCAAACTCAGATTAGAGTCTGCTCTCGATGTCGATTTCAAAAGGCTCGCACGCTTATTCAAGCCCAACGTGAAATAATCTGCATCTATTCAGATAGAGGGTGTATGGAAGTTATTGATGTCAACTTTGCATGGTTATTGCTACCTTGGTTCTGCTGCTGGTATAATGAACTGAAAAGAGGCATGAAAAATGGCTTCCCTTGAGTCTTAATACCCAGGTAAAGAATTCAGTGTTTGGTTTTGGAAAATATGTAATTTTCTAAAGTAAATGGTATAGCTGGCTAAAAGAGACCAGTCTGGAATACCCACGGCACATTTATTTTGCCATAAAATAAGTTTTTTTTTTTTACATTACTGCTGCTCTGTATTATGTTCATTTGGCTATTGCTGCCTGTTTACACCGCATTAAAATCCTAATGTATTTCACACTATTTTCTCTTGTTGAATCAATAGCTGTCTATAAACAAGCTCTTTTTACACACACAAAAAAATTCTTATATTAACAAAAGCTCCCGATTTTGAATGATCATCTTATATATACCAATGGATCCTCTGCAGTGAATGGGTGCCGTCAGAATGAGAGTTTAAACAGCTGATAAAAACTTCACAATAATACACAATAATACATAAGTAATCGAAATGACTCCAGTCCAACAATTAATATCCTGTGAAGCGTTTTTAATTTAAGACTGTTGCTTCTGACCAAAATATGAGTCCTCTATCTGAAATATTGCTTTCTACAGTGAAAATATCATCTCGTCTGAATCAGGAGAGAAATGTGCACAGATCAAGCACTGTTTATAAAACAAAACAGTTCTAAACAAAAATGTCAGTTGATTTTGATGTGAGAGGACAACAGGGAATGGATTATGGACTCGTATTTTGGCCAGAAGCGAAGGTTTAAAGTTAAAATCCCTTAATGATGGATTTGTTTCTTACAAACACACAGCTTTTCATTTCACAAGTCATTCATTGATGGATTATTAAATTTCTGTAAATCTATTCCAACTCACTTACATCCCGGATGACCTGAGGGTTAATTTTCAGTATTTTTTCACTTTTGGGTGAACTATTCTTTTGATAACAGTATTTTAAATAACACCACCTCGCATGACATGCTTATAAATGCAGTCTGCTTAGAAGTGTCAGATGGCTAAGCTTGAAATCCTGGCCATGGACCTGCCAAATTGCCCCACAGAGCTTGTATATGTGTGTGTTCAACAGAGTTTGTGTGTGTGTGTCTGTGATGAGATACTCACACACACACAGCTCAGGTTAAACTGCATGGGAATCGCGCAGGCTACACACTGTTTGTTTTGGACTCAATAGCATCTCATTTACACGTGTTAATTGCAGCTAATTGGTTCTAATTGGATGAACAGGAAACCCTCTGGGACCATTCATACCTTTAATTTGAGGTAAATATCATTAATTAACATATGTTAATTGGAGCCAATTAACATTGATTAAGAGATGCCAGCCACGAGAAAAAGTACAACTATCAAAATTCGATCGAGTCAGATACGTGCTTCAGGATGAGACGCATCCGAAACGGCATCTGGACCAGTGCTGTTTGGGTGGCTTTGGGTGACGAATGGGGATGCTCAGACTGGCACGGATGCATGTTGTCTAGTGCCGCCCCTGCCCCGTTGCACACCTGCGCAGGAAGTGCTCCCATGGACAGAGGGCATCTGTAGGCCCATGAGGGGCCAGCGTGTGCTGCACCGCCGGAGCGCAAGAGATTATAGGAGCTGCTGCTGAGTCCGGCAGATAGGGAGGGGACAGAGACAGAAAGAGCGAGAGAGAGAGAGAGAGAGAGAGAGAGGTGGAGCTGCGAGCCACTGTATGTATGGACAGTGAGAGTTGGAATGAATATAAGAAGTTGAGAGAGAAGAAATAAAGAGAAAGTGAGTGATAGCAAAAGTATTTTTTGGAAAGCCTAGAACAAAGGCTGAACTATGAGAGAGTAATGTGCGTTGATACTCATGCAAGTATCGGACATTCAGACATTTGCAACCCTGCAAATAGTCAGGTCTAGTCACCTTTATTTAAATAGTGATTTATACACTACAGTTTCATGTGCAGCCAAGGAGAGATGAGGGAAGGATCTGTTCGCAAGTGTTATATTTATTAAAGGGACCACCCAAAATGAAAATTCTGTCATCTTTTACTCATCCTGAAGTTGTACCAAACCTGCAGTGAAGTGACATGTCATGTGGTCATTAGTGTCATGTAGAATTAGTGCTGTGCATTTATCCCATCCAAAGTGCACACACACAGCAGTGAACACACACACACACACACACCGTGAACACACACCTGGAGCAGTGGGCAGCCATTTACGCTGCAGCACCCGGGGAGCAGTTGGGGGTTCGGTGCCTTGCTCAAGGGCACCTCAGTCATGGTATTGAAGGTGGAAGAGGAGGGGAGTACATTCACTCCCCTCACCTACAATCCCTGCCGGTACGAGACTTGAACCCGCAACCTTTGGGTTACGAGTCCGACTCTCTAACCATTAGGCCACAACTTCCCCATCGATTTCCCCACAACTTCCCGTATGAGTTTCCTTTAGCTGTTAAACACAAAAGAAGATATTGTGAAGGATTTTGGTAGGCAAACAGTTGACGATATCCATTGACTTCTATAGTATGAAGAAAAATACTATGGAAGTCAATGGCTACTATTACAGTTTTTTACGATTGCTTAAGCACAATTTTGAAAACAGGGCCCGGTTTGTCAAAACACTACACCCGATTAACACAACCCTACACCAAAGTAGCACAACACTTCAGATCATTTGCAAAATGGAACACTTTTGTCAAAACTATACACAACTTTATAAAAACAATATTTTGAATTTTAGTGTGTAAGCAATCGTAAAAAACTGTAACTGTTTGGTTACCAACGTTCTTCAAAATGTCTTCTTTTGTGTTTATCTTCTTCAATTTACTCACCCTCCACTTCTTCCAAACCAATATGAGTTTCTTTCAGCTGTTGAACACAAAAGAAGATATTTTGAAGAATGTTGGTAGTCAAAGAATTGACGGTAGCCATTGACTTCTATAGTATGGAGAAAACTACTATGGAAGTCAATGGCTACTATCAACTGTTTGGTTACCAACATTCTTCAAAATATCTTCTTTTGTGTTCAACAGCTGAAGGAAAAAAGTGGAAGGTGACTAAATGTTGACAGAATTTTTATTTTCTAAAGTGAAAAAAACAACAACAACATGGGTGCACAGGAGAACAGCTTTACAAACTTTATATGGATGGGAATGGACAAATAACACTGAAACAGAGGGCTATACAGACTAAATGACAAACTAAACAAGGAACAAGTGAACATCATGAATAACCAAGGGGACAAATGAACAGAAATAATACCCAGGAAGAGAAAAAATTCAAACTAAAAGTTCATGAAATCTTCAAAACATTAGTCCTAAATTCAATGGAACGCAGAACACAAAATACCTGTGACATACAGATTGTTAAAGAGCAGCTTCAGAGTTATAAACAAGAAAGTAACAGAATCAACCTCAAATATTAGACTAATTCAACAATCCGGTCAGTATTCAGATCAAGTCATTTTAGTGTTGAGTCAATTCAGTTCAAATATCCAAACGATGCCTGAAGTAACTTATTCTGGTGCTTTTAGACTGAATGTTTGAGTTAATGTGGACAGTGGACATATGGACAGGCAGACTGTTGGAGGGTTTTAATACGTCAGTGATTTGGCTGGCAAGGGCAGGTGATTCCCAGTCGGGCGAGAGATCGAGCAAGAAGAGGCGCTTGTCCTGCTGGGCCGGTAACCTGTGTCAGAGACCTGGAGTCCTGAGCTGACATTGACACAAACACATGAAAACAGGCGCCTAGCAGGTGTCTGGGCACACACTGGCATCAGCAACACTCTCCATTCCTTTCTCCTTCAGTGTCTAAAGTGTAGGGCACATGACAAACAACAACAAGCGACGCACAGTGTCATCTTCTGAATAACTTTGCCTTTTGACAAGCACACTTGCCTCAAGAAGACAGAGAGATGCACAGACAGACAGCAACGCGGTGTTCGTGCTCACACAGCGGCGCGTGCGCTAGCAGCCTTGAGCGCTGAGGCATGGTGGCAGAGGCCGACGGTGCCCAGTAGGG